CCATTGCTTACGTTTACGACATTGGCCCACATGTACGCTCAGTGTCGAATCATGAAAATTTAATTTTGACAAATCGATGTCCGACTATACCAGTTACACCACTGAGGCAACACAAAAAGAGATCAACTTTTAGTTAGCAGTTTTTCAAGAACTTCCACATATGTTATGTGACTCACCGCATGGTCCTCGAAGTCGGTAATCCACCGGCTCGCATCATCGTGCGACGGCCCGTCGATAATTTCGACAACCAGACCGGTCACAACGTCCGGACACACATGGCGATATGTCGAGCACCCGTGATCGACGAGCGGCGACGGCGTCGTAAACGTAAGCAATGGTTTCTTTCGTAAATATCTTGTAATTCAAAGCCAATACACGTAGCCCAGTAAGCCGGCACCGGTGGTGTAGTGGTAAACGTGACTGCTTTCTCACCCCAATGGGTCTGGGTTCAATCTCAGTCGAGGTTGGTGGGATTTTTCTGAGGCATAAAAATCTCTGGTCACGTCTTCCTTCGGAAGGGAAGTAAAGCCGTTGGTCCCGGCCCATGCGTGTTTGAATGGGTGCTATATCCTACGCAGGTGTGGAAGCTGTCTTCCTGCACATTTGATTGCCGTCAATAGATGGCAATCGATGTCCGTCGGTGATTGGCACTAGATTGCGGAACAGAGACCGACGTTAAATAAAGGAAAGAATCATGTAGCCCAGTAATTCTATCAGCTATGGGGACTTCCCCTACAGCACATTGTGGTAGCTCACTTGAACGAGTTTTCATTCTCAAGAAATTCGTGGAAAATTCAGTGTTACGTTTGTAACATTGGTCCTTATGAAAGAAAAGCAGATATTTGGTTACATGCTCAGTATACGCTATTTGAAAACTACGCAAGTTTGAGTTAAATCAGTCAAAACTGAACCTATCAAAAATTGGTAAACTATGTTGGGAGTAACAGGTTAACAATTGAACAACGTCGGTCGGGTCCATACCAATGTCGTCCATTTGCCAACTTGTCACTTTCAACATAGTTTACCCATTTTTGAGTAGGTTCAGTTGTGACCGATCTGGGAGAATTTCACCCAAATTTGAGTAGTTTTGAAATAACGTATAAACATTGACGTTGAGGGTGGCTCTGTAACTCTTTACTCCTCACGGAGAACAAATTATAGCAGACGCAATTATTTTTCCGGTCAAAATAACTATATTGTTCAATTGTTTTAGAGATAACCCGAAACTATAGTTGATTTGACTATATATAGAGGGCAACAACTATAGTCCATAGTTGGCTCCTCGATTGGCTCAACTATATTTTTCAGTAGATGAACAAACGTCAAACTTCAAAATACAACTATGCTTTAGTTGATTCAAGAAAATTATTGTTAGGAAAGCAAAATTTTACAATGTTTTTTTAAACGAACTGCTCTTCATTATCGACATATTAAGGAAGTTTGTTTTGCTTCTTCATCGATCGCAAAAACACAACTGCATCATCATAAAAAAGTGAACAAGAACATTCAGCTTTGATTTGAACCGTGTTCATCTGCGTGAGAGCCAGCTATCTTATCGCCTGCTCTACGCATCACAAGTTAAAAGTATGTGGATTTATGATGATCACTTGAAACCAAATTATATAAATAAATTACATTTGACGGTTGTTATAATTGATCAAAGTTAGAGTTGAATTGAGTATAAGATGAACAGTTGAATCTATTAGGTAGATATGATTGAGTTGACGATCAAATTAATGTTGGAATAACTATAGTTTTCCCACAAACAACAATATTTTTCTATGTGAAAGTAACTATTAGGATTGTTATCTTAACTTAACGAATTTGTTCTCCGTGCTATGATAAAATCCCATCTATCAATCTGTGCTTGAAATCTAGCGGATTTTGTCTTATCTCTTCACTCCACCATAGTACCAGCGAGCCGCCGTCTCTTCATGTATTATCTTGTATGAGATTTTTCCATGGGCCTGACTGGCGGCCATGTTTTTGATACTATCATCTGCTCTTGTCTTACTGCTTGTAAAACGATTTTCCGTTCCTTTGCAACATGTATACGTCAGGTGGGCCGTATTTAAATAAGGCCCGTGATGTTGCCTACTGTCAAACGTATAGGATTGATATTGGGTTGCCAGCCTCCTGGATTTTCACTTGACTTCACGACGCAAGATCTCACTAATACCATAGAGGTAACTCTAAGACTAGTAGGTCCGGAAGAAACGTGCTCAACTTTCTGGCTCAGCTCTGGTACTATCTTCGGTCCCAAGCTAATTGATTCGCCCCTCGAAACATAGGAAAATCGAATAACCCCTCATTTAATCTGTCAAACTTTCATAGCGAATCAAAACAAACATAGTGTAGTACTAGAATTTAGACTAGAGTGAGGTACGTAATCGATTTGCTTGGGACCAATAGGCTAGTCAAGTAGTGAGCCAATTTAAAATCGATAGTTTTATATTGATTGTTGCTAATACAACGTAGCTAGTGTAGCCATATAAAATCGATTTGTTTATTATTTTCAACCACAAAATCAGCTGTCAAAGTGTTCGACTTGACAGTGGTTTTTTATTTATATTTTCAACCAGTAAAACGCATGTATTCGTGAAACTGCTCACTAATACTAACGGTGGTAGAGAACTCTCTGGAGTGAAAAGTTAAGGAAATGTCTTGCATGTTTCACGCACACACTGATGTTCGCATTTTACCATAGGAGTAAAGAGTTACAGAATGACCGAAAAGGCAAATTGTCAAGGTAATGCGGCCATTCTTGTTTAGATTAGCTTTAGGGCACAGGGGGCTTATCAAAGGATTTAAATATTAACGCGTGACTTCAAGTCAGTCAGAAGTCAGTCAAGCGCGTTGTAAAACAGGCATATTATAGATAACCAGTCAGTAGATCTTTTTGTTGGGATTTGAGCAGAAACATTCAATTGTACGCAATTGAGAAACATAGAGAGGGTTGAAACCTTGGGTGTTACAGGAAAGGTCGATAAGCACTCGATTTCATGTGTCCTTGTTGCAAAATTCTTACGAATAGAAAGATGCAAGGTCAGCTCAAAACACAATATCCAGAGATTTATGTCTGTTTTACGTTTTAATTCCAAGAAGAAGAAATTCCACCACAGCTATTTAATGAAAAAATGGATACATTTGTTATCTAAGTTTATCATAGAAAAAATTTAAAGAAATAAACAAGAATTCACTTGGAGTTTCTCCAGTTTTGGTCATAATTACAAAAAAAAAACAATACGTATCGCTTTCAAAACTGAATTGTAAACAGCTTACATATGGCAGCTTAAAATTACATTTTTAAGGGGGCATGTCATCGCTTAAAAAATCGGCAAAAAATTCCAAATTTTTCATGCAAACGTTAATTTATGTTATGCTGTGTGAAGCAAGATGATGCATTTCATAAAGATAGCTTTATGATTATAAATAAATAACGTAAATGAATAAGGCAATACAAATACATGAGTCCAAGAGTGCTAAGAAGACATAGAATCATAAACCACGTTATTATTATTATTTTAATAGAATTGACTACTCCCTTGATCTCCATTCTCATTTTACAGCTGGTATAATCAGTTTGACAGATCGATGTCCTACTATACCACTTGAAATCACTGAAATGGGGTCAATTTTTGATGATCGAGTTCCATTTATGTTATGTGGGTGAGTGCAAAAGGGCGACTTGAACGCCAATACAGCGTTTAATAACACCAAGAAGGGGACTCCCGGCTTCCGTAGGTCGACGGAGATGTACACTGGGAGAGCAAGGATCTGATCAGGACTGGTTGTTGAGTTTTACCCGGGACGTAAGTCTGGGCGATTCGCTCTGGCAGTGGCTAATTTTCCCCAGACAGACTACTCGTGGATTGTGGCAACCACGTGGTAACGGGTGGTGCTAGCGAGGCCGAAGTTTCCTTTCCGATGACCACGCACTCTGAGTTTATTCTTAGTGGCACGCAGTCACGAAGCGAAGAATAGACCCAGGGGATCGCCCCAGTCCGATCAACAGCCTTAGGTGCTGATTTAGCTATATCAGGATGTCGGCAGCTCACACAATCGGCCCGATAAACCTTTAGCCAATATCCCAACAATGGACGCGACCAAGTATGGTGACCGTGGATAAGCGAAGATTAGCACCCCAAATACGAAATAAATATGTTATACCAATTACCTCGCGTAGTTTCAATTTTCTGGTTGCGCTTCCTTGTTAGAAGTTTCTAAACTCACGTTTTTATTTCTATTAAAAATTAAACATTAATCATCAATTTTTTTTTCAAAATTACTTCAGCTCTTACTTTTTAAAAAATTCCAATTAAACACGACTCTTGATTTGATATAGCATTTCATTTAATTTCAACGGGATGGACTCTGGAAATAATAATTTATTTTTTATTGCAACACTTCACTTATGGCTTTTTTCATTACGTTTAAATTGTTTTCACAATCACTTAGACTTTGTTTTGATTAGCTTCTAGATTCATTTTTAAAATTTTTGATTTAACACTTTACACTATCGAAAACAGAACGTTCTCAGAGCTATTACGTTTGTGGTATTCCGCTTGATGATTTACCCGGAATTTATCAAAAACAAAAAATCAGTTGCTTTGATCCTATTCATCTACATTATTACCAATGTTCTTCCTTGAAAAGATACAACAACTTATGCGTGAAATGTCTTGTTGATAACCCTAGCGTTACTCATAATCACGGCTTAAAAGAAGTATAACGCTAAAGCGAAGACTAAGAAGTAATGTAAACGTGTGAAATATATGAATGTTTTTGTTTTTAATTTTTTATCCCCTCCCCCCTTTCTCAACTGGTGTGAGCATCGAGTGACCAAAGAAAAACTTGTGATTTATTTCGGCCAAATTACAACTTTTCAACTTTAAGAAAATCTTAACGTCACTTTCCAGATTACCGTGGAAACTCTCCGCTTGACCATTTCCTATCATTCAGTCATCCAGTAGGTATCACAATACAATATTATCACTATTCTAGCGACACATCCCTTTAAGTTGGCCATACATCGTCTTTCCGGCACCAATCACGGTCAATGCCGACACAATCGAGGTGAAAAGGATGAGCATGTTTACATTTTCTTTCGATTGCATACGCCTCGGGGTGTATTCCAGTGCCAGCGAAGTCATACCTGCAAGTGGCAAAATACAAACACTAAGTAGCTTCAAACAGCCAAGTCCATTTATACGTTACCTATCACAAACGCCACTATTCCACACAGATAATGGCTGAGCTTGACATAGATGGGTTTGATGATGTGTTTGATTTTCACCGCGTACAGGGCAGCCCATCCGTTCAGCATTGATAAGAGGATAAAAATGACCGATACTAAGCCTGCAATCAAACCGAAAAAAAAACAATTCCCATCCGATAAGCCAGTACAGTAAAGATCCCAACATCGAGGAATTGTTGCTACTTCAGCAGTTAGGTTTAATAGCTGCACTCACCGGTTATCGCATGGGGAGACTTGAAGTGCTCCCGTTTCCTGTCCTCCTTGTAATAAATTTCCACCGCAGTGCCCGCGAAAATCGCACTACAACCGATCACCTGCAGAATCCAATGTAGGCGCCGCTTCATCTCCGGTGTATTCTCCATCGTCCAGGAATTCGCAGAGTATAGCGTTAGGAATGATTCCGCCATAAAAAAGTGGTACTGTCATATTTTGAACTGTTCTATTAGATGCGCTTGGTCAAAATTGAGCAATTCCACGCCAACTGACGAATCGATTTTATTTTTTCCCATCCGAATTCCATGAAACTTCTCATAATTGTTGACTAGGTGTCCCATGTTTGTGTCATTTCGATTAGATTATCCCATTTTCGTGCTATGATTTATTGAAAAATATCGATTACGCCATTCTTTAAAACTAAACATAAGTAAGAATGACCGAATTCCAGCACAAACTTGGTTTATCACCCTAGCTTTTGCTAAGTTTTGCGAAGTTTCACGGAATTCTGAGAGGTAAAATCTAAAATTTGTTTATTTGGAACTGCTCAATTATAAATTTTCGAGATAAAAAAAACATACCCCAACTGCCGTAAGGAATAGGTGCCATGTCAGGAAATTGTTAGCTCCATTCATGTAGCAAACGTACGATAAGTAGATTGTAACATATCCAATCAACATGTGATTGATGGTGTTAAACAAACCTTCCGTATATTTCACAACCGATTCGACCGAACTTCTTTTTGAACTAGCGTCGCTGGCCATCCTGAACAAAGCTCAATGCGAATGTTTACTGTTGAGGTAGCCCTTTGGGCACTTCAATTTATTAAATAATAAACACAGCCAAATCTACTGAGATTTTCTACTTCCGATACGGCAGCTAAGCAATACGTGCTACAGATTATACATACGCTTATCACGTCAAGCTTCAATCGTTTATACAGTGATGGTTCCACATGTGCGAATTGTTCCTAGGAATACTTTTAGAAAATATCTATGTATATATTTAGCAATTAATCTGATAGAAGTTTGTTGTTGCTAAAGCAGCATAATTGCTCTATATCAGTACATATAACCTCTGTATGACTGGATTTGGTAGTATAGCAGTTTACTCAAGATAATTTTATCAATTTGTGTTACTTGGGTGGATTATTAGTGCAATACCGGTAGGAGGAAAAAGCGAGTAATTATAATTTATTTCCTCTTAATTATATTAGTATCCATCACAGACATCACTGCACAATGTAGTCAAAAAACGTATTTGTCATGGATACAAATGTGATAAGTGAAATTATATTGCTTAAGACATTTTCCAATCAATCCGTCCATTAAAGGATTATGTAAATTTGGCAAATGATGGGATCGCCGGAAATCTGGCAACCCACTCCTACATCATAGCTCACTAATGGTGGTAAGCTCCAACTCGCATTAATTTTTAATGCCGTCCCTGATGGATTATCTGCAAAATGTTTGCTTAGAGTCGTGTTGATAAACTCGGAAGTCAACATCAAAGCATTAGGACATTCTTAATCGGAATTTAATCCGAGGATATTGGAGCATAGCGATTGGAGCATACCAGTTGGAGTATACCACCATAAGCGTGCTCTTCAATCACAAATGACAATTCCAAATCATTTCCGACCACAATCCCAAGAAAATTCTGACAAGGTATCCCAAGAACTCCTGACAAGAATTCCAAGAGAATTGCAATAACAATTCCACTGAAACCTGAATCTGAAATCAGTCCCAAAGGAACTGTGAGAAGATCATATTTTTTTGGGAGCATACTAAGGGGAGATTACTGAGCTTAATTTCTAAGAAATAATAGTAATAGTAGTTATGGATAGAATTCTAAGATTCTAAGATAGTTCTAACTCAAAACCTCTGAGGAAAATTCCTAGGGTAAGTGAAAAGAATTGGTCCCCGGTCTATGAGTTGATGGGTCGATAGGTAGGATCCAGGTGTGAGAGCTGCTTCCCTGGTGTCAGTAGCATTGGTACTCAGTACGGAAAACAAGATCGATGGAAACAAAACAAAATTTCAACTTTGCATCAGTGCTGTCACGGTAAATTTAAAGCTAATTACTCACAGATTTTGCATATGTGTGCCTCCATCCACCTTGAATCCATGCTCCCGCTCTGAGGAACGCCCATAATTAAGGGAAGTACACACGAAATTAGAGTAGACTATATTTTTGAAATGTTTGGAATATTTCTGAAATTTTTGGAATTTTCCATAATTTTCCGGAACTTTCTCTATCATATGCTGATGTTAGCTTAGCTGAATAAGTGCTTATCCGCTATAAATCGACGTTAAAAGTCATTGTTTATATTTGGCACATAGGCCCTTTACACAAGCTGCTATAGAATTAATGTAACTACTATGAAGTTCTCTGATCAGAATTCAAGTAATCGGCACATCACTGAAAATCATGAAATTGTTAAAAATCTCAAAACATCTCTGAATTTCACAGGACTTCACTATGGACTGAAATTTTCCAAAATTCCCTGAGTTTCTAATTACATTAATTGAATTGAAATGAGGTCCATTGATCTTCTCTGATGTTCTCGAACCTACACCCAAAGTTCGTGCGATTTTCATGATGTTCTTCACTTAAAGATGTTTCCTGGGCTTCTATAAAGTTTCTAAAATATATATGAAGTTTTATAAATTCTTATGCAGAAATTGTCATGGAGCACTCCAGAATTAACTGATCATTATAAATATCTAAGCATCTCGAAATTCTGGACTTTCCTGAAGTTATTAAAACTGCCCTTAACATATCTGAGCTTGTCTAAAGATCTCTGGACCTAGTTTGTCCGAGGTTCTTGGGATTTCTATAAAGTATCTCCAGCTTTCCTCAAATTATTTGAACTTCTCTGAATTCATAATTTCCTTGAATTTCTTAGAAATTCTTAAATATGCATGAATTTCCTTAAAGCTAATGAAGCCACTTTGAAGTTTCCTGAAGTGCCTGAAATGTAATAGAAGCTCCCAAATTTTACCTTATTATCCCACAGTCTGATCATGAAACACCGAAATTCTCGGTATTTGATATCTTTTTCATAAAGTTCAAAAAAAAACTATGTGGACTACTCTGATGTTCTCTAATCTTTCCTGAAGTTCTTGGAACTTCCCTGAAGTTCTTGTTTTTCTTCTGAGGATGTTTCGAGAAGTAGCCCTGAAATTACTCTTGTGTTAGCTTCTGTAAATTTTCCCAAATGTACCTTAAGTTTCCTTAAACTCTCTGATGTTCTCTGAAATATTTAAGATCATTGGAATTTTCGAATTTTTCTCGCTATTTCCCTGAATTTCATAGAAAGTTCGCGAATCATATATTAAGCATTCAGAACCGTCGGAAGCTTTCGCAATTTTCCTTCCACATTACTTCCGTTAATACCTTCAATCTCAAATGAAGGTTAGACAACCTCTGTAAAGTTCCCGTAATTTCCCTGAATGTATTGAAACAGTCCTTGAAATTTTCAATAAATCTATGGAAATACCCTGAAACCTAATAATGATCAAAAAACTTCCTCGTAGTTCTGCATGTCCGTGAAGTTCTTAGAACTCAAGTCAATTCTCCATTTCTGGATGTTCTATAAATCGATATTTCTCCCTATCTCGAAGATTTGAGCAGTCTCTTCATATTCCCGTACATTCAATTCTTTACATATATCTCGATCGTTCTCTATGTCGATGGTCCCTATAAAATATTCAGCAACAAATTACTCTTCATATGTGGACAGCAAAATCTAGTTCACTAGATTTTTTTACGTTTGAAGTAAGCGATCGAGTTTTGCTCTAGATACGAGGTAAACAAATACACTTTTTGAACCCGAAGTGCTTCAACAATCGTACAAGCAGGCTAATAAATTGCTGTTTCTGAATGCTAATCTCTCCCTACCTCGATCCCTCCCCATGGACATGGAGGTTGACGGTACTGAAGCAAAGGGTTATGTTTAATTTCTTTGTATTTGCAACGATGATGATTTCCTATAGTGACACATATCACCTTCTTAATGCTTCAGTATGCCTCAAACGATTAATTCTTGGTTGTTAATAGAACTTCCTTGATGAAATCGGCTGCTTTATGCAGACTGAGCAATTCTGATTATAGTATCAGATTTGTCCTGTATACAGAGGAACTGGGAGGGCTTATTAGAAACTTCTCATCAATAAATTAATGGTCTTCTGGTAAATTTAGCATATAATTTTATTAATATTTTATTTTATTTAAGCATATTATTTTTGTTACAGTCAATTAGCATTAGCATACGATACGTTTTTGCGTAAAATAATCAATATTTATTTTACTTGTAATTACCATTGAAAGTTTTTATTTCAAGTTTTTTTTTCGTAATCTGAAAATTTTCTCAATTTGGTTAGAAGTTTCGAAGCTAACGCATGTCCACAGGCCTAATAGAAAGATAGACAGAAAAAGTGTATCATGAAGAATGGTTGCATTCAGGGTTGCTTCTACTCACTAGCGATAGACGAGTGATTTTCGGAGTTTTGAATTCGTTAGATGTTGTAATAGAGATTTGTGTTGTTGGATGCGGGAGGAGATTGGGTGGCGGGTGTTTGACGCATAGAGCCTGTCAGTTTCGCTTTCAGATTGTCGCAGTCGGCGGTTTTATGATTCATGAGCGCTCGCGATTCGTAGAACCGTTGATTGTGACTGCAAGTGGATCTGGCGGGTTTTGTGTGTCGGACGCTTGCTTTTTGGCCTCTTCTTGTGTCTAACATGTGCAGAGTATCATTATAGCGTCTAATTGTTTTGAGGTTACTGGTTGCGTGAAATATATTTGTGAGAATATCTTTTTGAGATTTTAGTTGTCACGTTTTGTTTGTAGTTTATATTTTATTTATTTCATGTAATTATCGTAAATAATAGTTGTTCAATAATAGATAGTTCATCCATATATTCGTACTTTGACGCGAAGCGCTGTGGATTATGAGATGCTCGATGACCATGGAGGGATCGATTTTGCTTACTGAGCAGAAAATCATGGATTTAACTCCAAGCTCTTCCACAGCACAATATATTGCCACCATCATTTGAATATTTGATATTGAACATTAACCTCGGAAACTATTTGCATATCAAGCAAAAACTTAGTCCTGTATTGACGCGAAGCGTTATGGTTCTGAGATGCTCGATGACCCTGAAGGGATCGTTTTTGCTTACTGAGCAGAAAATCATGGGTTTAATCCCAAGCTCTCCGTCATGACTCTTAAACTCCATGATCACTAAACAAAATGAATATGTTCTTTCGACAGCCGGCTATCGAGAGATTAAATAAACAACAAATAAACAATACATACTTTTGGTCGCATCGCCAACTTGAGGTGAATCCTAACCGAATACCCTACCCAACCCTCCAACTCCGTAGCACTTATGAGGGTGTCGCTTAGTCGGTGGCCTCTTGTTAAGTAAGTACTACATCAACATTTCCTTCCATATCCCTAGTTATGGTAAAGATGGGCGTGGCCGGGAATAGCGACAGTCATGCTTCTGTTACTCTTATTTAGATTGGAACCAATGTTTACTCCCCAGCATTATTCCTGAAAGTAGTCTAACTGAGAATTTCAGAAGAGACGTGAGTGTCACTAGTATCCAATCTACGAAGTATATCATAACAACGCTAACGCTAACGCTAATCTCTCCCTACCTCGATGGTCTTCCAATATCGAGAAATGGAAAGTTCACTGTACCCTGAAGTTTCCGGAACCTTATTAAAATTTGTATGATGTATATGTAATTC